TAATCCCTGTTGCTTCAACTTTACTTGAAGAAACATTGTCTTCTTTTGGAGGAGAGAACTCAGCCACAACTTAAAGCAACCCTATCGTTTTTGTCGGTAAGACCCCTTGAACCATCCTCATTGGGTTGTTTGGATGGACAGTTTGCTTCATTCTTAGTACTTTGTTCACTCTTGGAATCACACCCATCCTTGGAATAAGACAAGGCAAGCTCCTCGAAATCAGTGTTGCCAATCGTAATACATATTGTGTATCATTGTATCACTTTTCAGTATTGTGTATTTTAAGATACATAATCATATATGGATATAGATAATAAAAAAAAGTATTTTCATATAATATATAAATATATTGTAAGAATAAAGTACTAAATCATATGACTAACAACTTGAAAATTCTCTCTAAGAAACTTACAAATTGGTTAAAGAGCTAAATATACATCCATTTAAAACCCAACTATCCAACTCATAAGAAATTAGGAAAATTTTGAAAATTTAATAATAAAAGATAAATGACATTTCATTTCAAATATGAAAGATGAGTCATAAGTTTCTTTCTTTCTTTTTTCCAGTCGGGCCTGGCTGCTTTGATTTTAGGTCCATTTGGTTCATGATTTGAGACTATTTTTCTAGATATAAGTAGTCCCAAACATACTTGTTATACAGTTTATTGACATGGTCAAAACAAGCCTTTTTGGCTCAAATCTTGGTTCTAAACTCAAATGCTACAATATGAGAGTCATTTTTTCTTGCGAGTTCATTTGGAATTGGGTCTCTTTTGTAAGGGATTTTCGGAGAACATAGTTCATGGTTGTTCAGTGAGTGTCGGTCATGGGATTGATAAAGAAAAAAAAGTTGTTAACAGGGTCAAAAGTGATGGAGAAGATAAAGATGAATTGATTGTTTGGTATACGTTGAATCACAGTACAATATGAAATCATATGATAGCGATTCAACTCACCAGCGATATGTGTCTGTGTTTCGTATCTTTTTTCATACAATATACATGTCACATATTACATGATATTAACCACACGGCAGTTGAAATAATTTGAGGATAAGGTGACTTTTGGCTCATTCTTCTCATCTTTAGGAAAAGCATGCACACTATCTTTGCCCTTATAATTCTTTACCTCTTAACCTCATAAGGATCACCATATCCCAAATTATGCATGAAGGATTTTGAAATTTCCTTATTAGCATGAATCTCGACACAACCTCTAGTAAAAGTAAGTCCACTAAGTGATTGGGTATATTCATCAAGGTACAAAATAAAGTAGTACCAATAACACTAGCTACATAACTCAAACCATCTTCGGCCCATAGCTCAAGGGAGATATTATAAAATTTCACTCAAATTGGGACACTAGAAAATTATTTCTTAGTCAATTGCATACCGCAATGCCATCTCTTGAAAACAATTAATATAATCCCAAAATAAAAAGTTCTACTATCAACAAAGCATCCTCATTTTTAATCTTAAAAATAAAAAAAAAAAACCATTGTCTAGAGTAACTATATCATCAAGATTATCGTTCTACAATTTTTTGGGCCTTGACTTAATCTTTTGGAAGGATAGTCTTTTATCAATAAAAAGCCCGCTAAAGCATGTTCCCACTTTAGAAAACCATGTCTTGAAATTTCAATGGGAATCTTTAGATCATCATTTTCAAAACCCACAGTGTATGAGCATGAAATAATGTTCTCGTATAATCCTGTTGATCAAGTTTACGCTCCTCCGAACGTCGTCGCTTCACCTAAAAACACAAATGTGAGCTAGCTGGCATCTGTACAGTGTATCGAGTATGACGTCACTCT